CTGTACAACCTGCAAATGTACACGGGCGCAACAAACTTTAGACGCATTTGTATGATACACGGTGGTTTATACAATTGCGGCCTGGCCATTTCTCCGCCAGTGGCGCGGCAATGATTAAAACGTTTCGCATTCATAATTCACAACCGGGGCTGAAATCCTATGAATTTTTATTGCGACGCTGGTGAATCGAGGCGAATACTGCCGAGAACTGACCGTCACCGTTGCTGCGTCGTTAAATGAAGAAGCTCGAGACACACACACACACACACACACACACACACATATATTCTCCCCTTTGGACAGACACGTCTTTTCATGGTCGTCCGGTTGTTCTGATTCTCCTTTTTTGCAACGTTTCTCTTTCTTTCCGTGCACATGAATTACATATATGTATACATATATATACATACATATATATATATGTATGTGTGTGTGTGTGTGTGTGTGTCCTTGCTTTACGACGACGTGTACACACATGCATATGTGTTTATATTTTCCGAGCAGGTGAAATAACGACGTTCGTTAGGGAGTTCAACATCAAAGAGCAAATATTTTCATTGTAAACTTGGAGTAAAATAGATCTAGTTCTCAATTAAAGCGGATTTTCCGGACAATGAAAGGGAGCGGCTGGAGGAAGGACGAGGGGGCTGGACGTCCACGGCAGATATTGTTTCGCTTAGTATTCATGGGAACTATTCGCGATATTCGTAAAAAGGGCAACGCGGACGGAAATATCGATAAATTTCCGTTGCAATCGTTTTACTTCACCATCGCTATTTCGCTTCTTTTCTTTTGATGCGCTCCACTTGCATCACTGACAGGGGGGAAAAAAATGAGCTATCCCCGCTATTGAATTAGCATGGAACGCAATAATGAACAGGATTCGATTACAGGCTGCAATTAAAACTTTGCCATTGAACGATATCGGAGGAACTACGAGCGAACGAAAAATTTTCCGGCGTAATGAAAATTCTATGGGAAATTTACCGAACTTTCGCTTCAACGTACTAATCGTTTGATATCGATGGTAAAACAGTAGTGACGTTGATCAGTTATTTTCGAGAATTTTTACAAGAATAAGATATTATTCGGAATAAGATATTGCCGAATGAGGAGTAATGGATTTTCGTTAATTTACGATGCCGGCTGATGTGAAATTACGTCTGACGCGATGAAAGCAGAATAATAGCGCCTTATCGTAACGTAATATTTTATAACACCGCGAGCTTTTGTATTGCACCGCGGTGTACTTTATCGCGTCATCCTTTTAGCCATCGCAACAAAGATATAATTTCGTGGGACATAAATTTCCATAGTCATAAATTATCCCTGAACGCGGTTAACAAGCGCCAAGAGTTAACGAGTTTATCCGAAAGTGAGGTACGATTGCACCGAGTGAAATGGTATAGTGGTATTAATGATTTACGAGCATTTAATATTTCGTAATTTCATAAATCTTAGTCCACGGCTAGTTGTTAATTAATTCCGGAATAAATTCGTGTGCGTAGAGCACACGATACTAACGTAGAGAGTCATCATACATGTACATGTGTATTCGACGCGCATCAATGTCTGTATTTTCAAGTTTTTATTTTTTTTTATTCTTTTGCCAATTAAGTTGATTTCAATGCATTTATATTTTTTTTTTTTCGTTTCAAAAGAAAGATATATGGAAACGTAATTCCTTCAATACGTGTGCCTCTTTAACCACTTGCGCTGGCAACTGATTGCGGACCATAACGAGCGACCAAACCGTATACGATAATTCGTCGCTTTCTTTTTGAACTCGTCGGTGTGATATATCACTGGATAGAAATTATTGCGAAGTAATAAATTTATTATTTGTTTTGTCTATAATTTGTTTTACTTAAATATACTTAAAACTGAGAAAATATTACAATTTTGGAACAAAAAATTCTCATTCCAGCGCAAGAGGTTAAATATCAAATGAACCAAACGATTTACCAAGAATCGTACATTACTACACAAATAACTCGTCTTCACTTGCAGAAACTAACTCAAACTCAAAATCAAGATACTATTTTATTGTCCACAATACATCGCGCCACTGACATAATTCAACTTCAATTCGAAAGAGAAAGATTTAAAAAATCATCCACTTTCAATCTCGTCCCTAAGAGGAGAGAGAAACGAGAAAGGAAAGGAAAAGAATAATTCCAAACTATATGTTCACGTTGAACGCGTGGAATCATTAACAACAACCTTTTAACTGTTACAACGGATGAGCGATCACGGAGGAAGAGAGCAACGGTCAGGCTGGGCGATTCCGATCGGCGGTCGGGCGTTTAATCGTCCGTAATCCGAGCGTTTCTGCGATGGCATGGCTGCGTGTGTGCAGGTGTACGCGAATTTCTGTGGCGATACACGGGCGCAGTATGCAATGCAGACGCCTCCACTCAAGGGCCGAGGGTGGAGAACCTCGGCGTGAACATTATGCGGTGCACCTCGCGTTTAGCTTGATAAATGGCGGCGAGGCAGCGGCGAATGCCGACGTTGTTGCAGCCGCCGCCATCGTCTTTGCCCTTGTTTCCTATATTCATCCTTTTTTTTTATACCTCTTCCTCTCTCTCTCTCTCTCTCTCTCTCTCTCACTTTTTAACTTTTTCTCTCTCGTCTTGTTCCACGTTCTCTTTTTCCCTGACGTGTTTCTCCGTTCCTTCCTCCCTTTTGTACCAAAAAACCAGTCAGATTTTTAGGGAAGAAAAAACAAAACAAAACAAAAGAAGGAAATTTACCGCAATCGCGCGCAACTCGACAACACGGCGTGCAACGGAAGAGGCCAAAAAGTCGAGCTCGAACCAGCAATCATTATTTCTCGCGAGGAGGTATTCGTGATATTCGCGGACGTTGTGGAGAGACGCGATTATATTCACGCAGCCAGCAGGGAAATGTTCTTACGTGCAATCAACCCGCTGCATTATGGCCCGAGCAAAGTTTTTTAATCGCGTTTGCTCACTGGCAGATGTTACCCCGGTCTTCGTTTCCGAGATCCCTAGATTAAAGCGTTCACCATAGTTCCTCTTCATTTGTCGTTCACTCGTTTCTCTCTCGCTGTTTTTCCTTCGTTTTTCTACTTACTCTCGTAATTCGATTCTACGCGAAGAGTAAATCGGAAAAAACACGACGAGTCCACCGTTGGACTTGCAAATGTAACGGGTTCCTTAAAAATGTCCAGTAGGATGTTTAAATCTGTAAGGTTGTGCGTAAGAAGATTTTTTAAAGATTCGATATGCGATCAAGTAGAAAGAGAATATTGCTTGAGCGGAATTGATCGATGTATTTTCAATTTTAAAATTTGTTCAGACTTCGTTATTCCTCGTACGTGTTCATAAATCGAATATATTGAAATTATCGAGGACTTATGTCACGGTGGTGTAATAATATAATAAGATAATTACAGTCGTGGAACTGATAATTTGAGCTTCCGTGGAACAAGCTTTGATAGAAAACCGATTAGCAACGATTCAACGACAGGATGGAACGATCGTTTTCATATTAAACTGCCATTAAATTTAATGTATTCGGTTAAGGAGATATTTTGCATCGAACTGCGTTACAAACGAACGTACTGTTACGGACGTACTTAAGAAACGATATTTCCAATTTGTTTTGCATTTCTTTCGAATCGACGGCTGATCTGTTTCGCTTCTGTTATTGCGGCAAGAAAAATCGTACTAAAAGGTCGATATAAAATCGCGTATAAAAGCGTTCGAGATTTATTATCGGCTCGGATTACATACGTGATTGTTGTACACATATTTGCGATACAATTGACGATTGTTTCGAAAGTCAGATTTCAATCTGCGTGCGCGTTTTTTCGTTCAAAGAACGAAGAGATGATGGATTAAAATCATCGATTCGACGTGGCAAAAAAAAAAAAAAAAAAAAAAAAAAAAAAAAAAAAAAAAAAAANAAAAAAAAGAAAAAAAAAAGAAAGAAAGGAAAAAAAGAGAAAGGAGAAAAAATTCAATTTCTCAAACATTCGCAATATTGTTTCTCGAATGTTCGCGACATTGGTATTGTTCGCACGATTGATATGTGGACAGAGTATTGCAATCATTCTGGAGATGCTGATACCGACGACGATGTACGATTACGGCGATGGTTATACCGCGATTATTTCGCATTGTGTTCTCTTTGAATGTCGTTGTTGGCAGCGAAACGATTGAATTTTTCCGCTGGATGCGAGTGCTCTGTCGGCGCTGTAAAGATCGAATCGAATCGGGTCGAATAAAAAAAAAAAAAAAAAAATCGCGCAAAATCATTCGTTTTACCTGCGCTCGCGTTTATAACAGGGAACATTATCGAATCGTCGGGCGATTTCAGAAAAGAAGAGAATTATTTTGTTAACCGGGCAGCGGTTTCGGTGCGAAATTCATTTGTTGATAAAATTCGAGAGACAAGAGGAGTTCGAAATTGACGATTAAAAAACGTTGATTGCACGAATGCTTGAAAGGCTCCCGGCCAACGGTCGTCGTTTCGAAAATTACTCGCGTTGACAAAAGTTTCGCAATAATTCGCGAATAATTAAACAATTGAACGGTTTGTTCGGCTCGAGCCTCCCCTTTCCCGCAAATTTCAGGTAAATGGATTGAAATAAATTTTTATTCGCTACGAGGAGGAGCGCAACGTTTGTTACCCGATGAATGACGCGGATTATGACGGATGCTATTATACTGAATTCGATTTTCAAGTTGAACTTTTGCTCGGCGATGATGAATAGCCAGCGATGGTGAAAAGAGCAAATTACGAAAGTTAATCCCACCGCGTGCATCCCATTCGTTCGCGTTCTGCCAATCGATTAGACAAATACGTTCACGTCTTGTACCTTCCATCGAAGTGTTCAATCCATTCTGTTTCTTTTTATTTCTCTCGCCTCCTGGTCCGATTCGCTGCTTCTCTTTTCTTTTTTCTCTCTCTTTCTCTCTCGTCTCGTACTCTCGTTTCGAGCATCGTAGAAATCGAAGAGGCGTTCTACCCTCTTCTCGAGGCAACGTAAACCGGCAACGATGAAAATGCAGATTCGCAACTTCGAACATTACCGAGATGCGCGTTGCAATTGAGTTTGAAATAAATTGTTTGCCAGCCGACGCTCGGCTTTATTATGGGAAGGGGAGGGAAAAAATATTGACGCGATATCGATCTATGTTTCACGTACGCGAGGAAAATAGAATTTATACTCTCGTTAAAATTGCATGAATATTCCGCATTATACTCGATATCCTGCGCGATGCTTCAATTTCCCTCCGCTGAAATCAATGCGATATAAATTAAAACATAGATATCGAACAGTTTAATTTACGAAATAAAACACCTTCAGCCGGGATTAGCTATAAAGATAATTGCATTGACCGTGCAATTAGCGAATGAGATAACGTTTCAAAGATGTATTACGCAATGATAAAGTACAACTCTTATTTAACTCTTCGCTAGTAGCAACATATTCGTGAGTATCACGGACTCAATATGCGTACTGGAGAGTTAAATGTCAGAATGGCAAAAGGAAGAATGTAACAGGATTGATCGACAATCTGTTAAAATAAATTCTTCTTAATCATCGAATAATTCATCAGTTCGTGGTGTTGTTAATTTGTTTTTAACCAGGGAGCAGTCACGTTCGGTTTCGCGCAATAAGCAGACAATACGTACGTTCCGTTTAGCGTTTTAATAGACGTACAATTTCGCGGTGTGTACGATGTGTTCGCATTAATCGATTTGCGTGAAACGTCAGTTTCGCCATACGATGGAACTTTGCTCGTGCAACGAGGTTGGTATGTGCCTGTGTGTACGCGTGTGTATCGGTCGCCGAACTAAATAAACTTATTATGATCGAGTCGTGATAGCGGCGAATTAATTGCTCGGTCGCAGTCGAGTTTCGCCAGCGTGCGTCAGCCTGTGAAATTCATTCGTTACGCTTAATCGTATACTGACTTCCGTTCTACGTAACACGTGAATCGCAATCGTGCCTGTGTCTCGTAAATTAGAAAGCTCTTGTGACCGAACGGCGTTGAAAGCGACCGAGCGAGAAAGAGACCGCGTAAATAGACGACGCGTAGAAAAACGATCGAGCAGAGCGTTTGGCGTGTTGGTGAAACGAATGGTAAGCAGAGCAGATGGATCCGTTAGAAAAAACACGTGTGAGATTGGCTCTTACATGGCTAGAATTCTTATCGAGGGAGATCTTTTTCTTTTTTTCTTTTTTCTTGTTTTTTCTAATTTTTTCCTTCTTTTTTTAAAACCTTACTCATCGTCGAGAGATCGCGAGTTCATTGTCTCCATCGAAAGCGTATCGTGTATAAATGTCGACGTGACGAGGTCCGCAGTACCGGAAGCTGTGCGAGTGATGCTGCGCGAACTTGACGCTCAGATCGAATGCTCGAGCATTTCGACTTGTTGCCCGGTAGATATCGATATCAGAGTACATCAGTGTCGCGATACGATCGATGCACGGCAACGATTCACCCTTTCCGACGAATCTGATTGCCGATCGATACCCCGCGCAACCTTCTCCTTTCGTATTTTCTCGTTCTCGCTCGTTCGCCGTCTCTCTTCCACCTTTCGTCACACATCCTGTCAACGTGGTTGAATAATTGCGGAGGAAAGACGATCCCTTGTACTCCCGGTTCTCGCCTTTGTCCCGATATGCTTGTTCCGTTCCACTTGTTCTTCCTCTCGGTCCTCTGTTCCGCTGATTCTTTGCCTCTCGCCGTCTCAATTTCCTACTCTGTTCCGCAGCTGTTTCGTGCTTAATCGTTTCTCGAGCCGCTGTCACGGCAGCGTTATTTCCCTGGCGTCGAAATCCATTACGTTGGCGCGTTGCGTGTTCATTCGCGATTACGATCAGTCACTTTGTCGCGTCCCGTCGAAACGTTGCCGCATCGTCGCTCCCGACGTTGCGGTTCCTTTCGAAATCGCGCACTGTCCGCACGTTGCATTTCCGGGGGGCAACATTCGCGTTTCGCGTACACTGTGTCTCGTTCGTCCACGCTAACGACGTACCGGCGTCGTGGTTAGGTACTCGCTGGATCACTGGCACCACCGTGCGATCTCCGAGATTGCACGAACACGCGTACTTTCCTCGAGGGTGCGCCGGTCGATGCCCGATCGGCCGGTTCTCGCGGTGGCAGTCTTTCGTTCACCGTTCGTTCGCGCGAAAGAGGAGAGGGAGCATCGTCTCCGTGATGAAACGGTTAGTAAAGCAGCAAACACAGACAGAGAAGGAGGGAGTAGAGTCTTGGTTGCTTGGCTTGGCCGCCGTGCTGCATTGCCGCGGGATACTCTCCTGAAACAGGGGACAACACTTAAATTTTCTGAAGAAGCCGGCGTGGCGTTTTGTGAAAGTAATAACACGTTGTTCGCTCAGTGCATGAGCTCGACGGGGACTCGTGCCTCTTGTTCGCGACACAAAGTCTGCACGCAGGTCAAAGAAGTTCCAGGCTGTATACTTTAATTTCATCTAGTCGAGTTAATTACGATGGCAAACTGGCTTTGTCGCTAAGGCAAAGCCATTGTGTTTAACGTCCCTACGTTCGAATACGTTTCTCATGCATATGTATACACGGCCACATACGCGCCCGTCTACATTTAGCCTATACGTTCAGTCGTTACGATTGTGCTTCGCGTACAAATACGTCGAAGTGTGCAAACGTCGGCCGTAAACGTGTTGGTGCTTTACACGGAAATTCCGTTAACCGATGCAACGAAGGTGAGTAGGGAGGGGGGGGGGATTCATTAATTAAACGCGTGTGTCGAAGCCAGATCTTCTGTTCTCTGTTCTGAAACTCCGCCTCTCCCTCTTTCCTTTTCTTCGTTTGACGTTGATCAATTTTAAATTAATATTCCGGGACCGTCGTTCTCTCTTCGGTCTCCCTCGTTATTAATTTGTCCGGTAAAAGAAATTCCGCGCCTTCGCGGAAACCGGCGGCGTTTATTAATTTACGTTCTCTTTAAGGATCCATCCAATCGACGCTAATGATCCGCTACCGAAAAACCGTTCGTCGACGACCAATATCGTCATTTAGGTTTGATAATGAGTCGGGCAGAAAGACGGCTCGCAATTAAGTCGAAATCACTCACCATTGAGTACGTGAACGGTGATCGATTTTGATTGAGCATTGCTGGGATTACAAGTATACCGGCCAGAGTCCGATGGCTTTGCTTCCTGCACCAACAGGAAACTCCTGGTGATGTCACCCTTTTCCGTGACCACGGACACACCGCCTCTGGTCGGATCGTAGGTGATTATCTGCAACAATGGTCAAAATGGGGATGTTTTCAGTCGAGCAACGTTGAAGGATTCTAATGATATTCTGAAACGGGAACATGACATTAAAAAGGACGAATCAGAGAGAACGAACGTGGCAATCTTGTTTCATTTGTTTGAGAACTGAAAGCTGTTCGAGATGTTCGTTGTCGTTCTGCGAATGATGACTCGAGGAAATAGAGAAAAAGTTTTCGCTTTCCTCCAACTGTACGATTTACTTGTTAATCGAGAAGTAGAATTAGTATCGTACAAATGTACCTCAAACATCTGAGAAGCTAAGAGCAGTCTGGAATTTATATTTGTATAGAGCTCTTCGTTTTCTCTGTTTCTTCAGGGTCTTTGAAATAAATACAACGGGACCATTTACGAAGCGTGTAGTACCTTTGGGAATAACAGATTTTCTGCGATTGAAAGAACTATTCCTTTAATGAACTGTTATTTATTACGTTTCTACGATTTCAAGTATCAAATAATTACGTTTGCTCCGTGCTTACACACCCACGTGTACACGTTTCAACCGTGGGAGATTAGTCTCGTTGTTTTCCTCGGATGTGTAGTCAGCGAGTTTTCACAATAGCAACAATATTGCAGTTCCTTGTTACGAAGCTTCTCCGGCTCGTCGTACTTTTACTCCGCTGTGCGGAAAATTTGCCGTGGCCGTCACGATTTCGCTTAGATTTCTACGTTCTTTTCTTCGAGCGTTTGTGCACATAGATTCAGAAAGGCCAACACAGAGCAACGTCCGAACGTGCACCTGGTACACAGTGCCAGAGCCCTGGAAAACGTTCTGTTTATCCTGTGCCTGTTCCACTTGACGTTCCTCGCGAGTGTCTCTTTAACAGGGGTCGCGAGGGTCGATGCTCGCTGGTGAGACAGCTAGAAGCGGTGCCGGTGTCGTCAGAGCCGAGACGGATTTCTAAATAAATGATCTGCAGCCCGAGCCTTCGGTGCGCTGCTCTTACGTGCCATCTTAAGACCGTCTTAAGGGAGGACACCTTCAGCGAAATTTCTTGAAACTCGCTTCCTCGAATATTTTTTTTTTCTCGCGGCTGCCGTCGCCATCGTCCTCAACGCTCGATTCCGGTAAATAAACGGTAAAAGCGTTTCGAATGCGTGCACGAGTGTTTGTCTGATGGTCGTGCAAACGAAGGAGAAAATTATAGATATCTTGATGTTACATTGGTATATAAAAATATACCTATATTATTTTCATTTGAGAAATATTTCTACGAACAAATTCTAATCTATATAATAATATATGCATAATAATGATATATATAATTATATATATAATATATGTACAAAGATAGAATTTTATGTTAGAGAACCATTTCCATGGTATGGATAAAATCAATAAGATTAGTTAGAATTTGTAGACGAAATGTAGATGATCCATTTTCTATTTCACGTTTGAGAATACAAGTGGTTCAAAATATGATTAATCGGACGAGAAAGTTGCAAGCCACGAGCGTGATAAGCCATTCTCTTCTTGGTATTCTGTTATCTAGTCCATGATATAACGCAGAATAATATGCGAAACTTTCACTAGAAAGTGCATGATTAATCCGAGCTTCGTGTATGACGAGCTAATAACGGACGCACACGGTTTTATCCCTTCGTTCGTGCTCGACGCGATCCCAGCATACACTCGGTCGAACTTTTGTAGCAGCGAAATCTGAAATTTCGAATTGACATCGTGTCGCGTGAAATTATTATTTTTATCTTATCGTATTCACGATCGTATCGTTTAACGTATTGTGTTTTGACAATTTTTGTAAACGATTTTTCGTACGTGTATATTGCAAACAATGTTATTGAATATTTTTAAATATAAATACACGTCGAATGAAAGGAAATTGTTATCGCTTTCATTCGTGCAATGGAACGAAGTCTTTGACGCAGTCTTTAGCACTTTAAAACGACAACCTTAAACCTCTTAAAAATTTCCTAATAATCCTCTTAGCGACAAAATAAGCTATTAACGACACGGATGGTAAGCACTTAATTAGAAAAGTCTTGATCGTGGCCGTTAAAACATTGCTATAAAATTCGCTTCCTAATTTTCTGTACAATGGGGTACTGCGCACCCCAATTACAGCCGACCTACCTTAAAATCAGGATCTTTCACCTTTTTTACTGCTCACCACAACCACTTACCTACCTTCGTACTACCGCATTTTCCCTCTACTTCAGCTTCCTGGAGGGTTGGTTTAGTATTAAATCACCCAATCACCCTACTTTCTACCCACCCTTTTTAAAAGTCCTTGATCCTTCTCCGACTCTCGTATTTAGAACAGTACAAGATAATGAAAAGTAATAGAAGAAATGCAGGCTTGCACATCTATCAAACTTTTAGTATTCATTTTTTGCATCTGAAAAATTCCTCTGATCGAAGAAATAATGGAATGAAGCAGAAGTGTGAAAAATTCCGAAAAGGAAAAGAACACGAGGCAAAGTAGGCATTTGAACAACGTCCGCTTTCTTAACGATGTAAAGAATCCGTCATCTTTCCTCTTCGTTGTATCGACGAATTCGCTGTCATCAGAAATAGGACAACGAGGAGTGTTCGAAAAGACTCGAAAAGGATCAAATAAAAACGATGTTGACGAGCACAGGGTAACAACGGATCCGACGAGTGAGGAAAATCAAAATTCCACTGTTTCTGAATTGCGGGCTACCAGATTTCCGAGATATTTGTTCGATGTCAGTGAACAGAACGACACAGTTCAACGAACTAGATAATTTCGCTGCATTCGTGGAGCTCGTAATTTGAAGAAGTTTTAAGCGCGTGTCGAGCGACAGTTCTGCATGGCCTCGAAAGGAGGAAATGGAAATGGAAGGAAACGAGAAGAGAGTCTCGTCAGCCTCATTACGCGTTCATAGGAGAAATTGGCGTCCTATGGGAATCTTCGGTGACTCGATGGAACATCTTGGGTTCAATGGTCCATTGGAATGGTTTCCACCCAGCACGTTACTACTTTTGTCTTATCAGTCTTCTCCTACGTCTCGATAACGACTCCCTTGTCCCCAGATTCTTTCCTTCTTTCTTCATCCTGGCACTTTTCCCCTTGACTTATATCGTCTCTTCTCGCCTTTCTCAAGTTCGCTTTTTTTCCCCGTCCCCGCCCCGACCCGATCTTAATTTATCTACTTCATTTAAATCGATAGCCTTTCAGCTTTGATTGAATCCTTCAGGATCACTCGAACGGTTCTCTTTATTACGTGAAATCGCTTTAGGACGTTGGAAACTCCGGGTTCAATTTATTGTGATGGATATTCGCAAAATTAAAATTATTCCTTTGGGCAACGACCGACTAGTGAACGAAGTTTTAACATGCAATCAATCGATTGTACACATAGGCGGTAGATGTTTAATCTCTATTCTTGTAATATTTCCTCTTATATTCCCCTGACTTTATTTTCGAATTATAGTTAAAGAACCTACATGGAGTTGTTAACATTTACTTTACTTTTTAATATTCAGAAACTTTTCACCATAAAAACGTAACTACAAACATTCTAAATTTATAACAAGTTTCTTTAAGCAGAAGACTTATTTATCGTCAACGGGCGGATCTTAAATTCAGCATGAAATGTTGTACAATACACTCGCTGAAAACGTATAAATGGCAAAAAACAAGCGGTTACCATGTCATGACCGCCATTTCCTACAAACCCGTCTCATTTTCTGCAAAATATATTTTCCAATTCGAAGTCAGAGATATTCTTGTTCCTTGGTCCAATTGTTTCCTCATTTGTTGAGGTCGAGTAAAGATCTGCCGTTGCACCCGCAGATTGCCTTTTATTTTGCGATTTCTCGCTAGCTTCTAGCCAATTCGTTCGGAAATGTACGTCGAGAGGAAGAAATAAAGTGTTTTTGAAGAGTCTGATTATCGATAGTATTTTCAATCTAAGAAATCTTTATTAGCACTGTTATTACACTTGTATTCTTTAAAAAATTCTCACTTTGCTTTGAGAACATTTTAGAGATACTAAAAATAATGCTTCGAAAATTTTGTACTCACATTACTCTGTTCCTTTTCTTCTTTTTAATGAAATAAGATACGTATATAACATATTTTTGTATTATATTTGACATAACCGTTCGTTTATCAATTGATGAACTAACAAACTGGGTAAATTCAAATGTCAATTAAATTTTTAAATAAAACGAATATCGTTTCTTAATAAATAGCTACAAGTAAATCGTTTGAAAATTCAATTTATTAGCGGCACGTTACAGGTGCCAGTCGCCACTGCCATCTAGCGGGACTTTATATAACAATGTTTAAGACGCATAAACGTTGTGTTAGTTTGTACAAAGTATCTGTGCTGATTGAACGTTTCTTGTTAAAATCCGGTCGAAATAACAATCGTAGGTTCGTGTCCTTCACCAATCACCACAAACGACGGCTCATTCGTGATAATAAGTATATTGTAAAAGTGTCTCGGATCTTTTTGTGAGTTTAACTTGAGAATCTCTCAATTGACAAAATCTTCGCGCCATAACCTTTTTCTATCGTTACTCCAACAGTCGCAACAACGTTCTAAATTGAAACATCAGCAAAGTATCGAATAACTCCGTAATTTTCTGCGTCGTAATCGCGTTTTAACATTTGTGCGTCGCGTTTATTTTTCGAGAGAAAGGAGCGAAGTGAGTGAAGTTTGTCACATTGTGCGAGCACAAAAGCGATGAAATGTGTCCACCTTTATTTGGCGCGGCCGAAACCGGCAAATGGCGCGTTTTTTCGTAACGAGTCACGCATGGAGGTAACACGAGCTCTCGTGGAGGACTGTATCAAGCTTTTTGTAGACATTCGAGTCTGAAATTGTATCCGATAGGTAAACAGTTGTAAATAAAGCTAGCTTTCGTCGACTGCGTGGTGCGCGTCGCGTCGAAGACATGTTCCCTTGTGTTGATGCGTGTGCAAATAACGTTGATTTGAAACTATGCTGTCATAAAACAAACAGTCTCCCTTTCTTTTTTTTCTTCCCCTTCCTCTTTTTCTCGCCCCTTTTTCTTCCTGTGCTTAAATAGTGTGAATAAGTGTTGGTGATAGACAAAGAAGAAAAATCAGAACGACGAGACGAGTTGCTGCGCCTGTCGCCGTCCTTTGTGCGCATGCGCGGAACTTCGTTTGGAACTACAGACGGTAAGGAGTTTTTGATTTCGTTAAAATCTCCAGTTGTGATATGCAAATAAATATGTTCATAAATATGTTCATAAATATATGTTGCCGTTCATAGGTATCGGAACACTTACTTTACTTCAATTTTATCACAAGTTTAAGGAAAAGTGACTTTCTAATTATTTTATTTTTTGCTGTCGTCATAGCTACGTGTAATGGACTGTCATGGCGCGAAATTTAATCTTAGAAATGTAGTGTACAATAACAAATTTACAATTTGTAATAACATGGCTTGTTGTATTAATTTAGGAATTTGACAAAATACATATACACTCTTAATGCAATTTATCAAAGTGTCCCGATATTTGTGAATGATAGTATGTATTATTAATATGATAGAACTCCATTTATTGAACTGGAATTTCATAATGTTTGACTGAATTTACCTATCTGAATAAAAGTTCTAATTATTGGAATGAAAATCCATAGATAGTGAAAAGAAGAATGTAAAGTTATATTATATGAATAATTTATTGGTAGTCTTAGATAAACGAAGTTTCTGTAATAAGAATCGTATATTATATAAGATCCGAGAAGTTTCGAACACGGTGAATCCAGCATAAAAGTTACAAATCGGAATCGAAGGGAGTCCTTTCCAACTTTCATTCCATTAGCCAAAGTTTCACGAAGTTAGTCACAATGAGATAATGTAACTTAAACGATTAACAAAAATCGATTACAACAAGCGGGGAAGTTCGTATCACTTCGTGGATCGTTTATACTTGCAATCGATGTAATCGTTTGGCATTCGTTCGAACAATGTTTGGCTTGTAATTTTGTTTCTGAAACGCTTTTATCATTTTAGGACAATACACGCGTCTTATCATTCTGACTAATCTTTCGTTGTATTGTATTTTAATTGGAATTTTTTAAAAAGTAATTCCGAATGACTTATCAAACGATTGTTAGGCTTTCAGAAATAACATGTTTTAGGATTAAACTGTAGAGGATTAAATTATACCGACCAAACGTCAATTTACAGTACCTGTTATTGTGAACAAATGTTACAAATCCAGAAAATGTGTTTTTATTTCTGTCGTAATACTGTGGAAACCGATTTGGCAACATCTTTGCCTTGTCTTTTTGGCAATCGTCCACGATTAAATAAGACGCGATATTGTATCTCGTTTAACTGTTCCTTAATAGGATCTCATTCAAGTAAACGAATGGAACGATCAAATCAATTTAGTACGTTTGTGATAGTAAGAATTAGTACGAATTTTCAGATCATAAATTTGGCATTCAATTACCGATCGTGTAATAAAAAGAGAATGTGTAATGTTTCCTTGATCGATCTTTTCTCTCGTTCTTTCGAGGAGATAAAATTATTTCAATTATAGTCAATTTCCAACTCTCGATATTTAGATTTGTAAATATATCGGTCAAAAGAAATAACGATTTCCGATAGCTTCCGTTTTCAGATCCCTCGGTCGTCCTCTTTCGGTGACGTACTAGTCGAGGTTCGCGGGGAAAAAGTTGACCCAGAAAGTCACCTAATGAAATGTAATCAGACAAATCAGTAAATATCGTTCTATTCATACGGAATATCTACGAAACGCGAAATTTAAAGCAAAGAGAAATTGATTTCCGCCTCTTCTGTTTTTCTTCGATTTCATTATTGACTTTATAAGTAAAGCTCTCAATGAAGCACAAGTGCACAAAGAAATACGTGCTCTCGATTATTGTTACAATTTCATTATAAATACAAACATAGTAAATAACCAGTAATTGTATTTTCCTTTGATTTCTTTCTTTCGTTATTGTATCACAAATATAGTGAGGATATATAGTATATATTGCGAATTTAATAAATTCACTAAGAAAGAATATGTTAAAATATTACGTGATTTATCACTGAAGATTGGCAACAGACATGCTCTGATTTAATTTGATGATTATATATAAGAATTAATTAGAGAGAACAAATATTATCATCAAAAATTATTTGAAATACAAATAGTAATTAATATAGAAATACGTATATTCATAATAGCCAATAATTAACATCACACACACACACACAATTTTACATTAAATTATATTACAATTTTATTAAAGTATATTATATTAAAGTACAATTTTACATTACACAATTTTACATTAAAAAAATGAAATCTCACATCATTCCATCTCAAATACACAATTCTATTTCAGTAATTACTGTAAATCGTTCTAATCTTTCTCATTTGAGACCGTTTGATCGATAATCATTTTTTGATTATCCTTTTTAATTAAACCGAATAAATAACAGGTACTCGAGTTACTATTAATGAACATATGGTGGAAAATGCGAGGGAAAACGGGAGAATACAGAAGAAAAAAAGATAGATGGCTGGCCAGAGAAAATAGATCAACGATCGAAAGATACACGAGATGTCTGCTCTCGTCGCAACCAGCAAATTGTTAAGTCAATTTAATTGCAACCAGTTCGGTTTTCTCTGTTTACAAACGTACATGTACGTTCAGAGAGGAAGAGAGAGAAAGAAACACGTGGAATGAATGTAGATCCGGATACACACGTACACCGGATGCTCGACGCAGAGAGGACAGATCCGCGGCAAACCGGTAGGAAACACACGTTCCTCGGTTGCACGTGGATCGAGCATAGCGGCGACGTCTCGAAATTCAATCGAAATCAAAGGGATGAGGTTTATTGAAGCGTAAGGGGAAACTCTGGCGAACTCCGATGATTCCTTGCGGTTGGAAAATGTTTCGTGCCACGGATCGATCGATTCATCTGACCTTATCATCGAGGGATTGCAATTTCGCCTTGGTTCACCTCTAGGGACGATTCGTGTTCCCTTCCTTATCGGTTTGCACTCCATGCACGACGTGTTGCGAAACTTTCCGTGAATCGTTTTCCCGTGAAACTCCGTCCTCGTCCCCCTTCCATCGAGAAGCATTGCATCCAGGCGAAATCGTGACTTTGACGGCCGGTGTTTTGCTTTTTCCCGCTTTCCTGCGACTTTTTGAGATTTATGGACCTCGCGTCGAGGGATCGTAGATAGCCGAGAAAAGTTAGGAGTAATTTTGTCGCCCTGACTAATGTTCTTCGATTTTATCCTTGTACAATCACCTGATCATCAATTTATACTGACATTTGAAAGCATCAGAATGTCAGCACCGTTTTTTTTTAAATTACTTAAGCCAGATTTAGAACCAAAATTCTATTCGTATCTTCATCCATCGTTTACTAAAGATTAGATTAGAAGTTTAATCATCTTTTAAAATCCTCTCATATTTAATTGGAGATGATACCATAACTCCTGATATTTATACAAATTTCTATCAATAATGATGGTAGCTAGAATTAGCTTTCCTAGTTTTCCCATCGTTCTGCTAATTACTTCAGTCCCCATAGTCCTGTATTCAGTTCCAGTCTCGACTGCAGGCGTTAGTCACGTGCCATGGAATTCATCTTGAGGCTCGCTGGACCTGTACGTAGCCGCGCTTGGAAATCCCAAGGCTGTTGGCCAGACTTAATGGGCCTAATGGTGTTTCCCATGTGCCGTTATTAGTCGTGTCCCTACTGACAATTTCACAGTTACCAACGTCACGATTATCAAAATTTATCGGTGTTTCGTTCGCTCGAACGCTCGACGGTGCTTTATAGACCGTTTCTTTACGTTACTACGTACTCAGCCACATACGGGAGTAGTTGGAAGGAACAACAACTTATTTCCAGCAAGGACTAAAAAGTCATATCTAACAATAAGTAAAACTTTAATTGTGATCAATGCCGCGTGATTTGTGGTAATTGTTTGCCAGGAAACAAAAATTTGCAAACATTTTTCCTACGTTTGAAATTATACGTGGCGAGGGAAGTGTAAAGAATACTTTAGGTGGGATTTGTGTGAGAATATTTTGTGAGAATATTTGAGTAAAAGTACTGGGTACAAACTTTAAAACGTGATAGAGGGCGTTGCTTGATAAAAGTATGTTGAGAACTTAAGTTTCAGAGGTGTTAAAAAAATTATCTGTTGTACATTATAAGAAAGAATATTCGAAATGAAACTTATTAGTATCCAAAATATAAAGACGTCTACTCGACATACTTTAGACTTTATTGTATTTCGAAATTTCAAATTTTTTCACAAGCGGTTTATAATAACTTGTAATAAATTATATAAGATTTATAATAAATATAAATTATGTCATACTTATAAAACATTATTAAATATAAAACATTATTATTATTAAATTAGAAATGAACTCAGTTAAATATTCTTTATGACGAGATTTATTTTCTCTCAATTTCTGAAGTTGGCGTATATCGATTTTCTCTGGGAAAAAATCACACGGAAGCAAAATAATCTCGAGCGAAAGATGACAAATTTCAAAGGAACTTCGTTCAGACAGGAACGGAGAATTTACTCGATGCTTGCAGAATGTGCACATACAAGTTTCGAGATATCAGGCAACAGCGAAACGTTCAAAAACTATCGCCATCAATTATTCTCGTGCGAAGTTGATACGTATTGACACAAACTGTCTCGGTTATAAATTGCAGTTTCACGGTGCTCCTCGTATTTACACTTATGTATTTAGAAATTTATGCGTTCACGGGTTTTGTTAGGTCTCTCTTACTCGAGAAAGGTTGTTAGACGGTCTTTCAAGATCATTTATCGATACTTACCGCGTCGTTATGATTCCAAAATATGTAGGCTGGTGGTTCTGGACTTAGAAGAACCACGCACGTCAGGTTGATCGTGCTACCTCGATTGATATACAGATCTGGTGCACCCAGGATTTCGGTTTTTGGAACTGGAAAATAAAATGATAAAATCGTTTATAATTATGTGTATTACTATATGGTCTCTTCATAAAAATGTAATGGATATTAAATTTCAATTAGCTTAATATGTCGTTTCATACGAAAGAATGATTTTTCTTTGCATCCCTTATCGTAAATATTCATTTAAGCAAAAGGATACAAAAAGATGCAGAGCAAAATGATTCCAAGAAAAATATAACTTTTGTTTTGTTCAAAAAGACAAACTAACAATAACGATCTCAACGAAAGAATATTTTCTAAATAAATTGCTGGCGTCAAAGCACGAAATATCTTGTCCTTTATTCCATGATGTCTTTCATTATTTTCGACTTCTTTTGCTATAATACAGTACATACTTGTGCAACGAAAGCAAGTTCGTGCTTCTCTCTGACATTTTGTGTTACGCTCAGCCATAACACTTGATGAGTACCCAGGTCCCAAGGTACGTCGAAACTTGTGTTTTACATCCCAGTTTACAACTACGAGGACGCGACAAGCAGGATAAATCATGCCGTCATCTTTTAATCAGTTTTGCTAGCTGAAAGTGAAAAGATACAAACTACCTAACTACCGACTTCAACTAACTTCATCCCTGACATTTTTCTCGACAGTGTAGGTCAACTACACTACAGACATCAACATTTCGTTTAGTTCTATCAATTATCTAAAATCTATCAAAGGGAGACTTTTCTTTTTACAAACATAATTTGCTTATTATTGTCGAAAAACGAGAAAGTAATTGTACTCCTTTGAAGCCAAAATGTTGCGAGCAATTGCATTCATAGCTGCCTGGTTGTTCTTTCAGCGTCACTGCTGAACCAATTCACACACCAGCTTAATTTTTTTGATTGGTTCGAAACGAAATGAATCGTCCAGGACGTTATTTATCACGTTGAAAATTGCTACGTCGTGTGCAAACGCGATGGTATTTATGGTCAATTCGGCTCGCGAATTTATTTTGTATCCTTTTTCGCTCGAACCGAAGAGCCGTGCGGTTGACTTGGCTGTTCGGTTCGAAAGAACACTTTGAGCTGGCTCGTGCAGAATATCCGCTCTCGCGTGTACCGTCAAAGAGAGAAAGAGATGCGGGAATAGTGGTCTGTGTGACTGTGGTGGAAGCGTGACGAACAGAGTAGAAGGGTAAAAGAGAGAGCTGGAGAAAGGAAAAAGGGGTGGATGGACCGGTGAAAGGGGTGGATATTAGCGAAAAAGGGAGAGAGAGCCGACGAAGATGGGTTGGGAGGGGAAAAGAGTTTTGGACCAGGGTGAACGAATCTTCGGTACGGTTGTGTAAAAGCGTTGCGTTGTATATGTACAATATGCATACGTACGCGCGGGGCGTATGTTGCCGCGGAGAAAGATAGGAAAGCTGAAGAGAGGTCACTGGGTGTAGATCGATGTGAATATTTTCCGGACGGCCTCCTCTTCGAGGATTGACCGAAATAACCGGGCACCGTACTTTACGGCTTTGTGCAGCAGATGATACCAGAGACGACAGTTGTGTCCCCGGCGATAACCTTTCGCCCTGCTTCCGTGCCTTGATCGCTATTGCGTCCGCTTGCCTCTCTCTTGGATACTTTCTACCTTTTAATTTTCCCCATGTACTCACATCCCCCCTTCATAACTATCAAAACGTCTGACGGCTTTATATAAAACGTTACAATTGATGTGGGTTGTCGAAGGATTAATTCTTCGAGGTTTAAACACTTCGTTGAGGAAATTTTAAACGAATTAGTAGTAACAGAGAGATTCAAAGCAGCAAAGTTGAATTATTTATGAAATGCATCGGACTAACGAAACAATAAATACTTTTAAAAATATAATTGAAACAACAATCTTTGAGATTGTAATATGTACTTAATTTCTTAGATCTCTTCAATATGCCTTTCAATTTCCTCGTGATTATGAAGTATAATATTTACAATTGGTGGCATGATGTATTTACAATCACGGTAGAGAGAAAACCATCATCCTGATTAAATTGAAATTATTTTTATCGCAGTAGATCTTTTCTTCTTAAACGTTCTTACACGTCCACGTTCGTACTTGATCTACTATTTGTGGTTCGCGATTCTCGCTATTCTGGAGAGACTCTGGCATCGTTCTTCAAACATGTCACCCAGTTCGTACGTGACTCGGTAATTTCCTCTTTCTTAAATGGACCCCTCAGTACCTAGGATGTGCTGCTTTGTTGAATTGCTCTCCGAGGTAAAGGATTCGCTCGAGATTCACTTGTAATTGCAATCGCTTCGCCTATAAGAGCATTCTCGTAGCCCTCTCAAACATTTGACGCTTGAATGTTGTTTCGTTTCCTCGAATGGGAATCAAGTAAACTGTCTTCAGATATTTTTCTCTTAGAATATTTTATGGCGTCGAGAGAGATTCTTACAATTAAATTTGACGAAAATACAGTTTTGCTGAAGATTCGTAGACAAGGAATTGGATTTAAAAATTACTCTCACGTGTAAAATGTTCCTTTCTTGTGGTCTTCGCGTAAGAAAAGTTTAGCAACTGATAATGGACGTTCTTTTCTATCCATTCTCTCGCTTTCGTAATTTTATATTTTGCTTAGAGATCTTCCCCAAAGTTGAACTTTCGCTCGATATAGCCGCGAGGGGATCGTTTATCGAGGTTATGACAAAAACTGGGCACGTTCATCGTGATTTAAAGGGAACACCTTTGAATCGAACATTGTTCGACATTGCACGTCGTTTTTATTGCCGGGAGATTCGTTCGTTTCTCTTCTCTGCTTTGTCATCGTTTAAGCTCTCGTATCGCAAAAGGAAATCGAACCAGCACTCATACATGTCGCACGGAAATTATTCGTATTCCGAGATGAAACGTTCGAAAGTTGGGAATATTATATTTCTGCAATAACGACACACTGCTCGCGAAATAATTTAATAATTACTCGTTCGGTTCCGTATGCTTTATAAATTATTTCGCGAAATTGTTCAAACACTGTGAAAAATCACATTTTATGAGCTCGAGATATCGTACGTTTAAAATATTTCATTTTTATACTTTATCGTAATTAATAGCTTTAAGTTTGAAATTCAAAATTGATCGTCGCAGTTGTAACTAGATATTTTTATTTTAAAAATAAAACTTAAACGAAGATCTGTATCAAATGCTATAAAGAATAATATATTAATGTTCGTCACGAATATCTCCACCACTTATTTATTTTTACCTGGTCGTATTGTTCTATCAATAGTAAGTAACACTAGTAAATAACACTAATTTTTAACAATAGTGTGACACAATAATGACTACTGTTGATGATTCAACTGTTACAAAAGTGACAACGGACAAAAGCTCCGAGAATACCGATTTAAACAAATATTTCGTTCGATCGTTTGAACCGATCGGAATTCTCCGAAATTTCCTCGACCGTGTATTACTCCATTCACCCGTTTGGAATTTCTCAATTATTCTTCACTGCCGAGGGTGTGCGCTCGTCGATTCGAAAATGTAGAGAGAGAGAGAGGGAGAGAGAGAGAGAGAAAAAGGCAGGAAGAGAAAATTATAGATAAAGGTTTTTCCACTCGGAGTCTTGCCCTCCCCTGCCCCGTTTCTCGCCGCCTGATTCTCACTTTCGTCCGGTTCGGTTGATTCGTGTCCTATTTCGGCTACAGATTTTTCTCTCCTTTCATTTTTGCCTGGCATTTCCTCCGCAAGATCACTCGATCGAGGCCATGGCAAAAGCCGGCCAACGCCGCCTATGAGTCGATCGATATCAGGAATGTACATATACATATATATGTATATACATACATATCTACGCGAAGCGCTTTAACGTGGGTTAACCGCAGATGAAAGCTGAACGACGCGCCACGCCGTCCGCGCGGACTCAAATCACGTATTGGCCTTCCAATACGGTTTTCAGCCCGGTACTTTCCCGAAAGGTGTACCCGCCCTCCCTCCTCCCCCTCACATCCCCTTCAGATTCTAATTAGTAGCCCCGAGTGCTTTCAGCGGGGCGAACTGCACGTATAAACGGGACGTCGGATCCCCTCTGATCTGTCCCTTAACTTGTTAGAAAGCTGAAACACCCGGCGAACTTATTGGTAACCAGCAAGTTCCTCGTCAAAGGGAGCCTTTCCTTTTTTATAAGTTAACACGCCATTATTATTCATGGAAATTCATTAGTTTGCATGGTTTTATCGTTCTTGTTTGAGAAACCCGATAAAGATAGATGGACAGTAGTAGTTCATGTATGGCATCTCTCTCTCTCTCTTTGAAATCTGAAAATGTGAAAATAATTTCAAATGACTAGGATTGAAAAAGAGAAAGAGGCATGTTTACATGGGTGTTTGTGAATATTATAGTTATATTTTTATACAAACTCAAAGTTGGTTACTGTAGGTACATTTTCTCTGCTGTGTTTTTTTATAAAAAAATTCGTCGAGCTACGGATTTTTTAAAATATTAAAAATCTTTGTTCGGGCAAAAATAAAGTGAAAATGCAGAAACTCGGCGATTACAATATGATTAAATTTCCGCACGCAAATATCAAGGACTTTTTCGAATTGAAAATTTCGTTTGAATTTCAAGTGAACACGAGTATCTTTTGTTTGTGCATTATTGGCACAGATCTGGTCGGGACATTAATCTTGCCATGAATAACTGAATAATCTGCTATAATATAGCGACGTTGCAGCCAATATTGGCACGGACAAAATATGAAGCCGCTCCTTTTAAGAGGGATCGTGATCGGAAAATTTTCGACAGTGGTTTCGATACGTTAGTGCTTGCGACGTAAATTTCCAATATGTGGTCGAGGGAACATTTCGTTTTCACATAACGCGAACGTACTCTGAGGTCTTGTATTTGTAGAAGATTGTACTAACCGTAAATAATGATGAACAAGGAAATATTTTCGGGAGCACCAAGTTATTTTCACTATAACATGCCTCAGTATTTGAGAATTACGGGGAGCAAAGTTCACAAATAACAAAGCTCGACATCATAAAAATACGACTGAAAT